TTGATGAGTGGGGAAAGTGGTTTGTCTGGATAAAAATTTTAGTTTTGTCTTCTTACTTTCATGGAATCAGCTGGAATTATGTGGAATTAGAAGTTTTCTTTTTGGAGACAATTAAGGATGGGGGGAGATCTGAGACAGGCTATTGACGCCAAGAACATGTGGTCATCTGTTTTGCTCTGTCCTTCCCTGTTCCCTTACTAGAAGCCCACCACACAGACTATTGGCAGTATGTATTTTCTTGGTAAAAAGGCTACAAGAATAGTATGAAACATGATGAAGAAATGTGAATAAAATTGGAATTTGATCTTGCTGAAAGGGAAGAAACCGGTAACACATACAATGTAAGAAAACAAACAATTAGGAGACAAACCGTTGGAGGATTCTTACACATCTGAATAACAGAAAAGACGTTAAGGTCATAAAAGCTATTCAGGGGGAGAGAAAATATACCAAGATGGCAGGATTTTACTTGGTGTCAGTGTAGAGATGGAATTAGAAGAGAACAAGATAAGATTAGTAGTGATAGAGAGAGAGAACATTACTCAAAGTTTTGATTAATTACTCAAAGTTTTGATTAAGAGATTCAGGGAAATTAAGAAAGTTAAAACCCAAGAAACAGGTCGTTGGATTTAATGACTAAGAGATCCTCAGTAGCAAGTGCTAGGGAAATTTCAGTAGCAAACTAGGCGCATTCATATACGAGGAAATCATGTCGGAAGTTTAGTGATGAATGCAAGACGCAGTTTTGCCCTGGTGTTCATAGTTTGGAGTCCATATTCTGCAAGGCTGTCACTTTCACCAGACTCTACACCCTGCAGAGGGGAAAGGGGCCATTTTTGCTTAGAAAGCAACCTGTGCTGTTTTGTTGATGTGAATGGTGACTTATAAATATGTAAAATAAAAAAAAATTATGCCTACATTTTTTCCCTTCCTACTAAATCACCGTGCAAAGTTTTCCAGACTGTGTCGTGTCTGCTACATTAGCAGCACCAATGAGCAGAACGACCCAACAGAAAAAGACGCGTGGGATGCACCATCAGCACTGTTATTGGCTGAGACCATCTGGGCTTATAATAAAAAATGAAATAATCAGCAAGTTGCTTACACCCGGGAGATTATCATTTCTGCTGCTTGACCTAAAGTGTCTTGTAGAAGGACTTGCCTTTGCTGAGTTCTCAAAGTTGATACTAAATATTTAGTTCTAGTAGAGCTCAGTACATCTTCCCAACTTCTTTGCAATCAGGTTTGAATTTAAAGTCATCAATGCAATTCTAATATTAATCAGCCTAATCATTTCAGAGTCTTATGGCACCGTTTGGCAGTATAATTACATGGCCAGGAAGTGGGAACAGACTTTCTGTTCCTTACTCTGCCTGCAGTGACAGCTGTTTGTAGGAGTCTGGTATTGCCTAACTCATTTTAGAAAGTCATCTCTGCAATTATTTTCAGAGTTTCTTACCCAGTGTTTTGGATTTTCTCAGTGGTCATAAACCTTCCTTCTTTCAAAGAGGGATTGAAATTAGAGGAAGATTGGCTTGCATTTGAAGCCATCTCTGGGGAGTAGGGGAAAAGTCAACGTGAGAGGAGTAATTTCATTTCTGATCAAGTGAGGAATAATTCTAAAGCAGAGCAACTAGCTGTCCGGGTACCACATCAAGAGGCTCCTGATTCTGTGCTGCCCCGGTGCGGGCAGCAAGAGGAGCGCAGTCCGGGATGTCTGTGTGGTGAGCATGCGTGGTTCTCCACGGATGCTCCCGGTACGCCAGACCCCCGAGCTCCTCAGCACTCTCCGGTTCCTGGTCATTGATATCAATGCCATTTGTATCATGCTTGAGGACACTTAGTGACTGGCCTAAGGAAAGTGAGGGAAGTGAACATTGGGAAAGAAATACCCAGAGAAACTGTAGCTATAGGTCAAGGGGCAATTGTGTCCATGTCACAAAAACATGAAGAATGAGGTGAGCGGACTCTGGGGGACGGGGTATGTCATGGTTTATGTTTGTGTCCCCCAGGCCTCATGAGTTTGCATTGTGTATTTGTGATTGGTTCATTGCCTAGCGCTTGGATTGATGGTGTCAGTGCTCCACCCACCTAGGGGTGGAGCCAGGATGTGATGTAATGGCAGGAAGAAGGTGTGTCTTTCTTTTTGCTGGTTCGAGCTTGCTGTCTGCAGCTGCCATGAACTGCGGTCCAGCCATGCCCGCCTGTCTTGGAGTCAACTGAGTGTAGACCGAAACCTCCAAAAACTGTAAACCTTTCCTTTCCCAACTTGGGCATTAGGTATTTTGCCTCAGTGACGAGCATAAAGTAACCAAGACAGGCTATGAGGAAGAGAAAGGTCCAGGCTGTGAGATAATGGTCATTGGAGATGTAGCTGAATAGCCTGGAGAATAAAGGCCTGATGAGATAAATGAGCTGTAATTTCTTCCGGAGTATGTACGGTTTGTGTTTGTGGTTCATGGAAGGCCAGATTTCCAGATGCTCACAGTAACTAAGAGGTCCCTTGACACCCCATGCCAGACCCTAAAACAAGTGGGAAATGAGATCATCTGTGAGTTCGAACAGTGGCATCTGCCATCAAGCATCCTGCTGAAGTTGAGGCTGATGTTTCCATTGTAGAAGTCTCTTCATTTATGACGAGAAGTTTTGCTAATAAATCATATCGAGTGGTATTATTGTTGTCTGTGGATGACGTGCCAACACTTTCCAGGAAATGAAAAAAGTAGACTCTGGAATTTTAGACCAATTCTCACTTTCCATATGTCACATTTTCATCATTTTAGATGTAAGATTTCACAAAAATCTGAGTGAATTTAAGGTATACATATTACCTATGCCCCTGTATAAAGCAAGAATCATGGCAGGGATCTCCTAGAAGGGTTTTACCTATGAAAATTTTTGGCATGCACGTAATTAATGGACAACAGAGCCAGAAAATACAGGTTATTTCCAATCTCTGTACAAAGGAAAGAAGAAAAGATATGGATCAGTGACAGTGATCTCAGTGTGTTATGGCATGTGTTAAGGTGTAAAATTGATGTGAACAACCAGTTTGATCTAAACTACACAGCCCACCTGCAGAATGGTGCTGAAAGAGGACTGGATAGTTGGCGTCCCACAGAAATGGCCTCGCATTCCAGAAACTGACCTCACAGGGACAAAAGTTGATTGAGTACCAAAGAATATGTAAATGAAAATGGAAATCTCTTTTGAAAAGGACCATCTAAGGAAATAGTTAACCTTGACTTCCTTTCAATTCATTCATGCACTAAGTTACTAAAACTACTGCTATTTATCTATTAATTGTCAGATTGATAATTAGAATCTGCATCTATTTAGCAATATTTTTATTTATAAAGAAAACTTATTTTCTATAAACTGTTTTGGTGAAGGAAATAAAATACAATGTTACTTTGTCCTTATCTTTCAAATAGTAGTAAGATGGTTGATATTATGTGTGGGTTGTTATACTGTATTCTTGGATAGCGGATTTCTATTCTTTGGATTGAAATGGTCCCTAAAGGGGAAAAATAGCAGCCATTCATTTATTCAGAGCCATCTAATTGACTTGTACTAGTGGTTTTAGGATTATGGTTTCTATAGAGTTTGAGAGGACAGTCTTGGTCTTAGTAACTCTGACTTCTGACAGAGAGGGAGGGAGGGAGGAGAGAGAGAGAGAGAGAGAGAGAGAGAGAGAGAGAGAGAGAGAGAGAGAGATGAAAACAGACAAATAACAGAATATCAAATTTATGTTTTAGAAAGTCATTCTGAAAAATGCTTATCCTTTTGAAGAACTGCATGGAATGACAATAAATTGAGAAGAAATAATAGTCCAGCAGTTGGATGGATGTATCACTAATACAGATTTCTATTTAAGTAACATGTGATCCATTAGTTGAGTGTGGAATTCGAATGCCTATATTTTAAGGTAGCATGTATCCCTGACTAGCTGTGTGACTTGGATAAATCACTTCATCTCTTTGCATGCCAATTTTCTTATCAGTGATTTGCAAAGAATAGTTTCTACCTCAAGGTCTTTCATTGAAAAGAAATGAGTTAGTATATTAAGGCATTATAGCAGGCACAGTGTAATACAAATGTCTCCTGTTGGTGGACTTGGGTGGCTGGCATGGTGAGAAGAGAATGTGGAGCACATTTGAGTGTGTTTTTGTGTTACACTGAGCAGGATTTTGCCGTGGACTGGTCTTGGGGAAGGGAAAGGGGGAGGTAGTGCCAGATGCAATTCACGAAAGTGGATCCCCTGAGAGAGAGGAAAGTGTGTGTGATGAGTGGGGAGTCTTTACTATGATATCATTCTTCTGTTAAAAATGGGAATCTATAGTCAAAATTTTTGCTCATATTCTCTTTTCTTATGCATGGGAACATACAGGTAAGTTAGGTCTGTGGGGAAGGTGAATATTGGGAATCCTGAACTTCATTGAATGCTACTTGGCTGCTGAATGATGTGTACTAATGCCTCTTTTTGGTTTTTGTGATGCAACTGAGGCTAGTACTCTTCTCAAAGAGACTTTGAGTAACATCAGAACTCTTTGTATGCACACTGACTTAATATAAAACCTCTGAAATACGATAGAGCTTTTAAAGGAATCAGATTTTGCAGGGAATGAGCTCTTATGAATGTATATAAATCTTAGGAAACTAGAGTTTGTTCTTATAACTAATGGTTTTTTCTTGTACATTTTTATGTCACTGTCCCAAAATATGTTTCTGCTTTTGCAGCTTGTTAAGCCATAATGTAAGCATTTTCTTATAGCCAGAATTATAGCATTTTATGGTCTGCAATTCTGTGAATTCCTTCAGTACTGCTGAGTAAATAAGTGCTCATAAGCTTTAATGGATCCTTAAGATGAATTCTGTGTTTCCCTCAATCTATTAATGATTTTGTATTTTACATAAAGGATAATGTTTCACACAAATCCATGATGTGATCCTATGCAAATTGCAGTGATGTATCTTTTGTTTTTTTCCTGTTTTTCCAGTCTGTTCCCAGTTTTCAAGAGGCGTCTATGCGATTTTTGGGTTTTATGACAAGAAATCTGTCAATACCATCACGTCCTTCTGCGGGACTCTGCACGTCTCCTTCATCACCCCCAGCTTCCCAACAGATGGCACACACCCGTTCGTCATTCAGATGAGACCTGACCTCAAAGGAGCACTGCTGAGCTTGATCGAGTACTACCAGTGGGACAAGTTTGCGTACCTCTATGACAGTGACAGGGGTGAGTGACAGGAAGCCAAAAGTCTTATGATGGGCCAAAATTTAACACTTGCATTCAGCATTTAGAGGGTTTTGCAAAACTCTAAATGTGTACGAAGGCCCAAGGATCACTTGGTTTAATTTGGTGGTGCAAATGAATAATGCAGTTTGAAAACTGGGCAACATATTGAGAGTAAATAACACAACAAGAAAGTGTGTGTACAATTTACAGAGATAATTCATTCTTCCAACGTACAGATGTTCCGTTGCAATACAAAAAGAAATTTCTGGAATCATCCATGAGGATTGTGTGAAGGCAATATTCCTAGCCCAAGGAGAATGAAGTGGTTTGTGTGAAACTCACATAAACACATGGACAAGAATGTTTCCAGTGACTTACAGTTATTGTATATTGCCGGATGCAGACACTATTCTTATGACTTTTGTATAAAAATAAGATCTCCAAATTGTAGAGAAGACATGGGGTTGCTTGTGATTAACCTGTGTGTGGTGTAACTCAAACACAGTGTCTGACACCAGGCCAGCCTTTCTATACAACTCCATAAGGTTTTTTCCAGTGAGAAACTTTTGAGTTGCACACTAGACTTGATGCATTACACTCAACTTTACAGGGGGAGCTTCTCCATGATGATTTTCTCATTTCTTGTAGGAAGTTAAAAGGATCTCCCTTGCTTGACTTTCATGACAGGGAAGCCCAGGTGATCTTAAACCATTTGTCAATGCGTAATTGGGTCTCTGGGAATCTTTAAGGCCTTTGCATGATGAGAAACATTTTCTGGGAATGTTCCCAGAGAGAATATCCACAAGCCAGGTACCACTGTCCCAGTGCAGCTCAGTCCCACAGTGAGTGTCCTTTAGTGGCTTGCTCCCTGGAATACTCAAAGGTACAAATGGAATGCAGAAGGGTGCTTTGCCCAAGGAAGGCACCTTGTTACTCACAAGGGCAGACAGTAAGAGAGCCAGCCTATCAGCTCTCCATTGATCTGTTTGTAGGTTTTGGCTGCTGGAGATGGACTCAGGAGAGCTCCAGTGAGGTGTCTGCCCTCTGCCCTGTCCTGCCATTCCTGGCAGCAGTGTGGGGAAGAGACCGTCAGTACTCTGCAGCTAAGGGAGAAACTGCTGTGTCAACACCTTCCCTCTCAGCTGTGAGAAGCAGTGCTCTGGTGTCCCCACAGGGGTTGAAAACGGAAGCAGTACAGTTTATAGTAAATATGGATCCCAGTGCACTAGATGATTCCGAAGCATACTTCTTATTAATGTGATAGCAGAGCTTATAAAACTGAGTCGATGGAGTTATTTTTAGTCTTTACTCTTGTTAACTGCTCTTTTAAATATTCTTTTCCATAGCAGGTGTTTTTGGTGCTCTTCAGAGGAAGTAGGCACAAATGCTCAACACGTCTGAATTCTCCTTATCCCCCTCCCTCTCCCTGTTCTTTCTCCCTCTGTCTCTGGGCCCCCTTCCACTCATCGCTTTTTAAAGTTCATTTATTGTTTCATCTGGTTGAAACCAGTTTGGAGCCTGGGTATATTTTAAAGCCCCTTTCACCCTCTCACCTTGCTGATATGATTTCTGTCACTGTTTGCATTTTATTTCCAGTCACCCCTCTTTCCCATCACCATCGCCCATCCCAGAAACCCCTGTGTTCAGTTCCCCATCTCTCCCATGCTACATGTGTCTTGCTTTAACTAATTTTGGACCAGGCAGCCAGAGCTATTGTTTGATTTCCTTTGACAACTTCAATCGTTTTCTTAAAGCACTTCAGTGGCTTCACATATGATAGGGATGAAAGAAAAGTTCTTAGCATGGATCTAAGGCTTCCTGATGCCTGGATCCTGCTAAATTCTCTGGTGTATTCTGCTGTCTTTCTTACTCAGGCCAAATCCATTTGACCTTTCCCTCTGTCAGATGGCCATGCTCTCACTCAGATATCAGTAGCCTGTGTCAAGTCCTCCTTGGCATCTGGTTTATATATCACTTTCTCAGGTTTACACTGTTCTCCCTCGCAAAGTGACGTCTTATTTTTCTTGCTATGACTTAGTGCAGTTCACAATTAATGGTGATGTTGAGTCTGTCAGTTAAGAAGTGCTTCATGCACTGTCTTCCAGAGGCCACTTGGTCATCTAACTGAGCACTATTTGCAGTTTGGGCTGGCTGTAAACACAAGAGGGCAATGACCAGATGCAGGTCAGTACCTTAGATGTGCAGTTTGTACCTGAATATTCAACCTTTCAGAGTGGTGGTCTATGATCGAAGCTCCTCTATGGATTATGTAACCGTCTGTGCATTTTGAAATACTAGAAACTGAATCTTCCTTGATAGAGCTAAAGATCAGATCTAGCCATTGTTATTTCCCAAGGCTGAAGGTACCATTTTTAGTTTTGGAACGTATCTCACTGTCACCCTCACCGTTATTCCCTCTGTTTAAAATTGAGCTTTTGAGACCATTCAATAGACAACAGGTGGTATAAAACCAAGACAGATTCTGGTATGTGAAAAGAGAAATGGAGAGAAATGGGAGTCATAGAATTGGGAGTGAAGATGAGTGAGCTTTGTACTAGCAGAGAGGATCTGGGATGCTTTAAAGTGATTTTATTAATACTTTGGGAAAATTAAGTGAAATTGGAGTGATGAGATAATCTACAATTATTAAATTATACAAATTGATTTGAGTCAAGTATATCTGTTGAGCGAAGAACATTAGAATGATAATAATATTAAGTAATTATATATTAAAGCCAAATGACCTTATGAATACATTTTCAAGGTATTATCAAGGAGCTTCTGATGTTTTAATGTGAGAGATATTACACTGGCCTTTCAACTAAAACTATTTTCAGAGATAAATGTGTAAGAATCTCAAAACACTGGCAAAAGACTTGACCTTTGTGTAATGTTTTACTTGGCTCACGAAAATGGGATTATTGCTCTCTGATTATTTTCTTATTCTATAATGACTTAATTTTTATGGCTTTGACTTTATACTCTTTTCAGAAAGTCACTCATACATTGCTCATGTAAACTTCGTTCTTTCCTTTGGGCTCAGCCCTTTTCCTTTCCGCTTGTTTCAGAGAGGCTCTTCCTTCCTTTAACATTCTGTGATTTGGAGAAGGCACCTTTGTTCACTTTATCCATCTTAGCCATACTTTGAAAAACAGCCTCCATGGTTTCATCTCTCAGCTTGTATCCCTACACACCACTGTTTCAAACTATTTGATCCGATCTTGATATGACACCTTTGCCTTCTCCTTCATTAGGTGTTTGTGTTCAATATTCTTTCTTTCCTCTTCAGATAGTCAGGATCAGGTCAATAGCCCCTTGAATAATGGTGCCCAATGTATAAATGAATGTTTTTTGGGAGAGAAGTACCATAGGACCCACACATGAAAATCTCCCTGACATTCTGCCCAGATTGTAGAGCAGCAGAGGATGAAATCATCTCAAAACGCTTCATCTCACCTTTCTTGACTGCCATCAGTCGTTCCCACTTCCTGACCTTCTGTCCAGTGTGGGCAGCAAGTTAAGAGCCTGTATCCCACTGGTGAACAAAGGCACTCTGGTCTCTGGACAGAAGCATCTTTGATTAATCTAAATGTGTTGGTGGCAGGGGTGGTTGGACTGAGGCCGGGTGACCTTTGAGGATTGCTAATGTCCTGTCTCCCTCAGGCATGGGCATCCTCAGGATGCACTGAGGACTCATCCTTCCTAAGTGATGTGTCCTATGACTCCTGAGAGAGAAGGAGGTAGTGTTTCAGCACATCTTCAAGAGTGGGGCAGTGTGACCTTTGTGAGTTCACTAAATGTTCTAGTTTTTTTTTTTTTTTTTTTTTGCTTTTTCCTTTTTATCGGTACCAGAGATCGAACTCACGACTGCCTGCTTGCAAGGCAGGCGCTTATGCCGCTGAGCTAAATCCCCAGGCCCAAATGTTCTAGTTTCAATCTTTAGCTATATATGTGGTATATCAGAAGACACCATTAATTAAAATGTGGTTTTTATGTATTGGTTTAGTGCCAACAGGGTAAAGTAATGCATTTCATGGGGAATAGATAAAATATCTTTATGTCTTGATGCTAATTTCGAGCAAGAATTGTTTCCTGCGGGGAAAGCACTTTGGTTTTAGTTCTAAGGAAAACATGGCACATGGAACAAAAATGCTCCCAAAATATAAATTTCTTTTCTGAGTTTCTGGAGGAAGCTGATGAAGGAATGCTGTATTAGTTTATTCTGAGCCAGGGTTTAGTGACCATGGATATTAACCAAACACAGCAAATTTTACATGGAACAAATTATTTTTAAGAATACAGACATGGCATGAATGAAATACATCCTTTCTCAATCATCATGTTAAATTTTACTCTCATGTGCAAACAAACACCAGGACGCCCTCTGTGCAAAAGTTGTGACTTTCTCAGTGTCATTCACATCATTCTGGAGGAAGCTGTTACTTACTGTTGCTATTCTTTTGAGTTTCAAAAGGACATTCACTTATCAGTAGCTTATACAGTGAGAGCCAGTGGTTGCAATAGGCACATGAAAAATTAGGGCAATTTAATAATATCATAGTCGGGCTGTTAGTCTAAAATTAGACTTTATATAAACATCTGAAAATTCAGTACATGTAAGTATTTAACTTCATTTCTTATATTATTCTTGAAAACTTTATTGCAGACTACCTATTAGATATATTTACTAGATGAAAATATTTTTAAATTCATTTCTATTTTTAGATGAAGAGTTCTGTATCTTAACAATTTTCTTTGTTCTATAAAATTCAGCATTAAGAAATCAGGAAACTGAGTATCCCAATACAGTAGTATGGTTACTATAGTTAATACTCCTGCTGGTAGCTTTAAGTAAAACTATGCTAATGTAGAGTTTTCAGGGTCCATACCAGTTTACATTTGGATAAATGTGTTCATGAAGCTATTTCCATATTAATTTACATGGACAAGGAACAAGCATAGCACCAGTAACAAGGTTCTTCTTGGAATTAGAAAATGACAGTGGGAGATGATCATCATGAATCTGCGTTATTACTGATGTATTCAGGACAATTTCACCTTCATGATCATAACACATATTATATCATTTTTTAGGAATCCATGCATTTAAAATTAGTAACTATAAAGAAATCAAACTTCATACAAAAGTTCTACATAGTCATTAGGAGGGGGGAGGTCAGGTGCACAGAGGCTGAGACGTCTGTTACAGTTACTGAAGAAGAGCCATGTGGGCTGGTAATCAGAGAACAATAGCAGAGTCACGGATCCATGGCTTGTAACCTTCACATTACCTGTTGGGTTGTGCCATGGTCTGTGAATGACCTCTGGCTTTCCTTGGGAGGCAGTTTAGAATTATTGAGTGTCTTCTGAATAAACTCAGGTACCATCAAAACTGACACAGCACTACTTGAGCAGTTCAGTTTCTTAATAAATAGACGACATTTTTACAAGACATTAATCATGAGTCTGAGTGACAGAGACAGAATGAACTTAAGTTACTTTTAGCACCTAAAATGAGTAAGTGTGAAAGTCAGACATTTAAAATCTCCATCCTTTTTGACTGTGCATCATCTCCATATTCTGCAGCAGAATGTATTGCCAGTAAATATTAAGTTTAATACGATCACTTGCTGAAATCTCTTCAAATGCTTCTAAGTGGATTTGCATTTATAGTTCATTTTAATGTCTGTCCAAAGGTGGCATGTGAAGTGCATGACAAATGAAATAACTTATTGCAAGAATGAAGGCTGTGCCCTAGAGTTGCTGTCTGATAAAACATGCAGTGCATAAGAACATCATTGAGGGATTCTTAAATATTCTTGAGAAGCTAGCAAAGGGAGATGTGCAATGACTGGAGTTGGAAACCCAGGACCTGCAGAGTGGGAGAGGGGTTAGAAATGTGGATGTTTTGCTTCTTGCTTGGACAGACAAACTTGATTGTTGCTTTCAAGCACATTGGTAGCTGTGGAATTGCTAAGACCGGACCACCCCTGGGAATGTCGTCCCTCTACTGATCATGGAGACAGGAAGGCAACTGAATTACAGCGTGGAAGCATTTAATTTATCCAGAATGAACAGAGCTCATAGGGGCTCTGGAATAGTTTTAAAATTTTATACTTTATTTCCAAATATCTGACAAATGGAAATGTAATCTTTTCACATTATCACTTGAGAAATTCATATTTATCAACATCTTAATTTTATAAGACTAGGAACATGAAACTAATTGTATTTTTCTATTAAAAAATCAAAACAAAAACTTGATATTCTTGAACTTCAGTTTTTTGTTCATTTTGAAATCAAGCTAACTTTTCATGTTCATTGAAATATGAAATATTTAAATAACAGCTAGAATAGTAGGAAGTCCCCTAAGTACTATTTTGGTAGTGTTAGGAGTGGAACCCAGGGCCATAGTTGTGAGTTGCATCTCCGCCTAGCACCTTGTTGTTGTGGATCAGTGTCGCCGGAAGTTGCAGAATTAACTGCCAGGATGTTTTGGAACTCATGGTCTCCTGCAGCCTTCCCAAGTGCATGAGTGACCAATGTGTACCACTGTGTTCCCCACTTAAGCATCCTTAACCCAGCTTTATCAGTGACTGAGATGAGTAACTTTGCTTTTTCTTCTATAGCCCTCTTTTCTGGGCAGTTTTTTTAGGAATAGGTAATCACCATCATGTTATTTTACCCAGTGTTAAAGACATTACCCTGTAGTATATTTCTTATAAACTGATAGTGGAAGGTGAATGTGATTCAGGTCTAAATTGGTGGCCTTAGAGGTCATGGGTTGTGCTGAATATCTTCATTTAGAGACTATAGTGGTCTCTGTAGCCCCTTGTTCGTGTTGTGAGCAGCCCCTGATGATCACTGCTTGATTCATTCCTTTAGCAGGCATCACAGAATGGTAATAAATCTAAATCTACATTTGCTCATTGGGAATTAGCTGGAGTATTTATTAAAAGATCAACCTTTAATTCATTGTTACCCAAGGTATAGTTTATTCAGGAAGGAGCTGTAGATGTTCATTTTCTTCCTTAGCTTTCAGAACAATTAATTGTTTCCGATCCATTGAAGAAAAGCACGTGACTTCTAATAATAGAGTCTAATAATTATTTTTTTATGGCTTCATAGATTTAAAGTATCTTGTGTCTTTTAGTCTTTTGCATTTATTCTAATTAATATTCCAAATATTTTATCCTTATTTGAAGACAACCTCTCCAAGTTGGCTCCTGTGTCCTTGACACAGACTCTGGTGGGGACAGCATCCTAGTTTTCTAGACCCATCATATAAACTCTTTGGCTAATACTGAATAACTTTAACAATATTTTTTTTTTCTAATTGAGGTAGTGTCTGGCTGGCAAGATGTATAATTTATATATCTCTTGTCATGGTAAAAAGGTTTAAATAAAATTTTGTTTTTAGGTAATAGACTATGTGATCATATTAGGCTAATCATACATTTTAGAAATAAAAAAGAATCACTATTCTTTTGAGAACTATGCAGGCCTTTCTGGAATCAGGAGGGTAATATGTTGACTTTAGAATGTCTTCAGTAACCTTGACTTGCTGTTTCTCATATAGATGCGGAGCTTGACTTGATTGTGTCTAGTGAGAGTGGTGACGGAGATGAGTTTATGACTGGCTTTTCCAGTGCTAACCTGCAAATTGAACTCATAAGGAAATAAATCCTGTAGCTGTTAAGTCTCTTGGTCCTAAATATGAGAAAACACTTGGGGAATTTAAAATGATAAAATCTCTCTAAGTCATGTCTGTTATAAGCAAGATTGCTAATAAGTGGTAAAGTCATCTTGGATTTAGGAATCAAAGTATCTGTACCAGAGAACGTGGAGCTGGCAGACCCTGTAACTGCAGTGGGATCAGTCCTTATAACAGACGATAATAAACTGGAAGGCTGCAGAAGAAAAAAAAAAGCAATAAAACTGCAGAACCAAATCAATAGGAGGAAATACTATATAGCCTCGTGGAGATTATTGGCTATTTTTCTCATGGGGTCACAGAGCTACCTGTCACTGAAATGTACTGAATTCCTTGAGGATATTACTATCCAGTGATAGACAGGCATATAAGAAAACAGTTTTGCCAGTCTATAAGAAGAAGAAATGTTTGCAAAATCCTTTAACTTCACCCAAGCCAGAGACATTAAATATATCACACTTCAGTTATATTCAAAATGTAGCTGCCAGGGTTGAAAGAGATAATGCCCATCACATTTTGGTTAGAACGATAGTATTCAAATCATGAGTTTTTGATGGGAAGCAGACATTAATGAGATCACAGCTTTATTTTTGGAAGGTCGACATCCCCACAGTTATACAAACACATCAGCGTTGACTGTGCGCACTTTGGTAATTACATGCCCCACATAGGAGTTGTTTGAGTAGTCATCATTTTCTTTTGCCCTTGAAGGCTTGTCCACGCTGCAAGCGGTGCTGGATTCTGCAGCTGAGAAGAAATGGCAGGTGACTGCGATCAACGTGGGGAACATCAACAATGACAAGAAAGATGAGACCTACCGCTCGCTCTTCCAAGATCTGGAGTTAAAAAAAGAGCGGCGTGTGATCCTGGACTGTGAACGCGACAAAGTAAATGACATCGTGGACCAGGTTTGCTCTTCTGTGTCTCTGTCTTTGCCAGATATAGAATATGTATGTGAGGCAGCCTTTGGGTGGTACATTTGAGCACAATGCTTGGACAGCGGTTTTCGCTTCATGATTTATGTGGAATGCAGCAAAACCCATCAAATTCACAGTCTCTGGGTTCACTTAGCAATGGAAGACGGCTGTCAGTTATACCAACAGGTCATATTCGCTATGAAATAAATTTAATATATAATTCCTTACTTTCATGTTTTATATAAGTCTTGCACTGGACTGTGGTATTTGAGTTGAAAAATTTAAATTAAATTCTGCTGAAGTTTTACTAGCTAAAAAGATAGACGTACATATGAAGCCAAAATCTAAGTTCTAAAGGAACATTGGAAGGTGTTCTTTGAGCTGCATGAATTAAATCAAATGCTGCAGTACATGTTAGAATATATACAGTGTGATATAATCTAATGTAAAAAGCTGGTGTTACTGTCTAACTCAGTCCATGTCTCTAGGAAGAGTAGGTACTTATTTTTTAAGAGGTTTTATCTTCATATTAAAAGATCTGTGCCATTATGAAAGCTAACATCTGTGAAGTTAAAATATGAAAGAAAAACATTTAGACCACATTCACTATTGGAAAGTTAACCAGAGGTATCCATTTGGATTACTTGAAAGCATAACATAATGCTAGAGACAAATTTTTATGTTTGTACTGATTTTATTACTTTGCTTCAGTATACGATTTTTTTAGGATAGAGTGGCTATGCGGTGATATCATGATGGTAAGTAAAATTCATCATGTTTAAAAACAGGATAACTAATCAAGAGTGCATAATGATTTATTGAGTAAAGAGATAGCAAAGAGATGAGTTTGATGTTATCTATGATTTTTTTTTTAGTTGGGAGATGTGTATGTGTGTGTGTGTGTGTGTGTGTGTGTGTGTGTGTGTGTTTGTAATAGTGACCTCACTAGTTCCTTGGAAATATATACGACTGAAAAAAAAAAAATCCACAGTTACATATGCATTTCTTGTCCCGTCTAAGTTTAGAGGCAAAAGTTAGATTTACTGGTTTGTTCAACACAAAATATTCTAGACATGTAAACGTTAATGAAGCCCGAATATATAATATAGGCATTAAAGCATAAGAGGTGAATCTCTTACGAAATACTGAATAACTGAATCAACTTGTTACAAGAAGGAACCAAATATTGTACGACAAAGAGATAAATAATTTCAATGGGAAAATCTTGTCTCAGGATATGAATTTAAGATTGTTTTTAACCTGAAGGCCTTTGGCTGAGATATGAATCTCAAAATCTCATTTGAATTTCACAAGAAATTCTCATTAAACCTGTATTTTAATGATACACATTAGTCTGATTTAAACATTTATTCCTGGTACATCATCATGAATGTTGGTGAAAGCCTATATGAAAATAACACTACACAAAGCTAGGAGAGAGGCACTACAAAAGAAATTGACGCCACATGCAAAGCAATGCTTAGAAGAAAGTATGTCATAATGGTTATTTAAATATTCTTATGGGTTGTTATTCCAAATGCAGAGCATTCTACACATGTACAAGATATCCTTGAATATGTGGAGTACATGTAATGGGTCGTGTGTGACTCAGCACATATTTGCTGAGGATGCCCTCTGTTCTAGAATGTTCTAGAAAGAAAGATAAGGAAGAGTCACAGTTGTATCCATGAACTTAGTGCTTAGAAGGAAAGACAAAATGCACACCTGTGATTGTACAAGTCATAATACAGTGTGCCATGTCAGTCAGGTTCCATTGCTATAACACATATCTGAGACGAGTAGACTTACAGAAAGTGAAGGTTTACCCTGGCTTCTAGTTTTAGAGGTCCCATGGCTGGTTGGCCCATTGCACTTGGGCCTATGGCAAGTCAGCTCATTATTGTGGGAACTCGTGGTGAAGGACGCAGCTCATTTCCTGGCAGCTGGAAATGATGCCTGCAGGAAGAGACCAGGTTCCACAGTGCCTTCTGAGGCTGAGGTTCCCAATGATATAAAATCTCTGACTGTACCCTACTTCTTAAGGATTTCTAGAACCGTTCTTATCATCTCATTGAGACACACCCTTGAAATATGGGCCTGTGGGGAAATTCGTGATGCAAATACAGTAGTGGGCTGGAAATGAGGAGGAAGTACTTTCCTTGTAGGGCACAGCGTCTCTGTCAAGGGTTCACAGAGAAGTGTGCTTCCACTGCCTGGGTTCATTTACTTATTTGCTAAATAAGTACTACTAAAGTGTTCACAGCTTCCTGGAAGACACTGCATTAGGTCCAAAAAAAGTCATGTTAAACAAAATAGACAGAGCCCTATTGAGGTGTATTAATGTGAATTTGAAACAAATACACGGTCCCAACAATGGGGTATATCATGACTGCAAAGAAAGCAGCATTCTAAAAGAGAATTTCAGGAAAAAGTAATTTAGATTTGACTGTTCCACAAGGAATAGAGTTTGGCAGACAAATTGGAGATAAAGTGCTTTCAAAGAAAAGGAAATACTGCTTATTTATTTATGCCAGCAGTATTTACAGAGGAGATGAAACTCTTTATCTTCTCAATTGCCTGAAGTCAGCAGTGGAATTAAACTGCATTTCACCATACCTATTTTATTTTCATTTGTTAAAACCTTAGAGGTACTTATTTCAGCTTTGAGTAGGTGAGAAAAGCATTCAGCAAAAACATGCTAGCAATGTATTTTCTATTGTTCATATAATATTGTTTTAGAAAGCAAAATTATAACAGTTATATGGCCAACGCTAATTTTATACAGATGTTAGTGAATTTTCTTATTCAAGTTTCTCTCAATGAACCCTTAGGGACTCCTGGTATCACCAATTATACTGTGTTTATCTGAATTCTCAGCAGGAAGCTCTACATGCTTCAGCAATGGCTGTGGACTGGAAGCAGGGCCAGCAGATGTCTTGAGGACAGGTGGTGGACACAATTATCTTGAGACAACTGGTATTAATTCATGAGTCATTCATTCAGAAGGATGTGCAGTTTTTAAAAGCCATCAGCATTGAGGGTACAATTTCTTGGAAAAGGCAATTTAGTTATATTGCATAAAAATGGCTTAGAAAGCAATGTAAACCCTAACTTCTTTCAAATAGCTACCACTTATTATCAAAGTGGCATATGGTAGAATTCTTCCCAGGATCTTTGTACTCACTCATCAGCTAAGTAGGTTACTTGTGCACATCTGTCTTTATAGAAGATGATGAAAACCAGGGAATTTTGCTCCAAGGAGCTAACGAGTTTGGCCGAGAGTCATCATGCTGTAAAAGTGTATAAGACAAAAGATTCAGTGATGGAGTGAAATTCAGTATTTTAGTGTTCAGAGATCTGGAAGGTGCCATGAGACTTGAGCATGGATATTGGAGAATATGGGCTGAAGAAGCTCACAAAAACACCAGAATTAAGGATTTTGTGTATTACGCTAAAAGCATTGGGAAATTACCAAGTCAGGTTAGCTAGAAGACTGAGTTTGTGGTTGGAACATTTATCTATCACCTTGCTGTTTCTTGCTTTTTTCCACTGTGACTATTCTTATTCTTTTTAAGAATAAAGATTATATTTGAGTATGGATATTCTTGGCTTTATGATAGTTTGATTTAAGACCATACAACTTGACAATAGTGTGCAAGCCATAGGCATTCCATAGAAACTATACTATGATTTTCAAATTTTGTTCTTTTGCTGGGCAACGGTGTGCAGTGTAGTAGTGTCAGGGTGCTGCGATGCTCGGGATGGTTGGCTTCCATCAACCTTCAGCCCTCAATCAGTGATCAAGATGGGAGCCAGCTTGTACTGTACCCTCATACTCCACCAGGTCCTTCCTGGTCAAGTTGTGAGAGTTTGTAGGTTAGGTATGTTAAGTGCTTATGTGTGCGTGTGAGTGTGTGTGTGTGTGTGTGTGTGTGTGTGTGTGTGTGTGTCTGTCAGTATGCGTGGTACTGGGGAATGGGATTGAGGCCTTCACCGAGCTATAGCTGCTCCTTACTTTGTCTTTCTGTCTCCCTTCCCCTCCCTCTCCCCATCCCTCCTCTCCCCCTCGCCTCCCCTCCCCTCCCCCTCTCCTCCCCCTCCCATACCTATTGCTCTCATGGCAGCATCTCAGTAAGACACCCAGGCTTGTGATCATCCTGCCCCAGCTGCCTGGCCTGCTGGGATTCCGGGTGTCTGTGTGTCAGGGCATACCTTCATTATAAGCTATAAAATGTCTAACCATTTTTCCAGAACGGCAGCACGGCCCCTGCACCCTTGCCCACTCTTTTCATATTGTTGTTCAGTGCACATTAAATTGATTGCAGCAACATCCACATCTGCTACGAGCATTCCAGCCTGACCCCTTGTGCCACAGCTTCCACAGTTCTGCTTTTCACGGCACTGATCTTTCTCTTAAATTTCTGCAGAGAAATTAGCCTCTCTGACACTTTGCTTTGTGTATTAGAAATAATGTCCATTTGAACTCAGCTGTAGGCCTTTAAAATTCTGAGGGTAGGACTATCATTTTATATTTCAAGGTAAAAATCTTTTATTTGCTCTTTTTTCAAATTTTTATAGTTATCTAACTGTGCTTATCTTTGACTAATGTGTAATTATAAAATCTCAGATGTTGATTTCAGTTGTTTAGTTTTTTACCAAAAAGACATCGTACCTTTTGTAGGAATAAAATTATGAATTGACTTTATGTTTAATATTTTATGGCCTTATTTTCACTATTGATAAAAATGGAATAATTATTTTGGGTTAGTGATTGTCTTCTTGAAAGATAACTGTTATTCAAGAATGAAATGTAATATTATGTTTCCCTGCGAGAGATATTCTCTAGATTTCACAAAAACATAGCAAATATATTTTTTCCTGAAACACATTATAATACTAGTAATTTATATTAATGATATTTGTATTTACTAAATGATTTTTGTTTATCTCTGGTAGGTTATTACTATTGGGAAACATGTTAAAGGATACCACTACATCATTGCTAATCTGGTAGGTAAACTGATTCCTATTTATTATTTCACTACTTTTCCTAAAATCAACTTTGATCATCACCATTTATTAGTGGTGCTCTACAAATGTTATTGTGATATATCTATGAGGCTACAAGTGGCAATATGTTTTCAATTTACTATATTTTAAACAGCTTTTCCATGTTTTCACATCCCATTTGACATATTCAATTAATTTCCTATTATAAAAACTGTTGTAAAGTTTTATAGAATGATTTAACTTAACAAATTAGTTTCATAGTTTCACTAAAAGAAAATTTTCAAAAATATATAAAGTATAACTTTATCAAAGTATCTCCTCATTTCTCACAGTAACATGTATTTTATAAACTTTGCCTTATGTATATTTCCTTTAAGTTTTAGTACATGTAATATCTGAAATATTTTTACATTTGTGGAAATACATTTTATTGCACAATTAAACCTGGGTATATGATAATGTTATTAATATAACATATTGTGCAGTATGTAATGGCAATGTTTTATGAATTATTTTTTTCTGATTTCCTGCTTACTCTGTTACTAACTGCATGAGAGTTGAATTCCTCTAGCTGATTCCTCTTTCACTGGGATTCTTGTCATATTAAGGTCATCCTGAAATGACAGAGGAGCCCAGATTACTTCCCTTGAAGTATACTCAGAGTCACCAGTTTAGAGTACTTATTAGGTATTTTTTTTTTTTTTTCAGAATGGCCTTTTTTTTTTCAGGAATTAGGCCTTTATTGTTTCAAAAGTGACTGATGCTGAGGCTGACGTGATGCTGTGTGACTGAGATTAAACTCCCCTCCACCCTCACACAGCCTCAGAAAACAAACAGGAGAAACAGGGAAACCTGCAGAATGCACAAGTTTATGTGCAACAACAGAACTCCACTCTGAGGCGGACAATGCAAGCTTATTTTAAGTAGCATAACAGGACTTCAAAAAGGTTTTACATTGTACTAACATAGATTAAGTGCATGAGTTTTCTAGTATCTTACTGTTCATCAATGATGACACAAAGAAATTAAAATCAAAATGAAACCCACAACTCCACAGTGTGTCTAGAGTTAGGGTTAGAGTTAAGGTTAGAGTTAGGTTCGAGTTCGGGTTAGGGTTAGTCTCTACTGTTTTACTGGAGGTGGTATCAGCCATAATTTAGCGTGTCAGAGTTCAAAGGAACATACCATGGGAAGAAGGTGGTCATTTCCAGTGAAATCACCATTTGGCAGTGACATTGATGAGGACTATGCAGGCTGTAGCATTTTCCCCTGGTGTGTACTGAGGGGGACCAAGGGGACTCTACAGAGAGGTGACAGTGAAAGCAAAGGGAACCCCAGGCACAGGCTCTGCAGAGCCCTCCATCAGCAGGGATCAGTGGGGTTCTCAGAGCCTCCTGTGGACCCTGCCATTTGACAAACAGCTCACAGTTGCTTGAAAGCTGTGGTCTTGAAAACACAGATGGAGAAGATTACCTTACAGCACTGAGAAGAAATGACAAAAGTCACTCATCAGTTTGAGCATCTATATGTGATACTGTGATATGTGCAGGAAGGGTTTGAGTGATCCAAGTCATTCAAAGAAGGAAGCTCATGCTGCTGTCATTTTTCTGAGAATCACCTACTGGTGATTGAATCTGGTCGCCAATTCTGCTTTTACTTTTATTTTTTTCTGAAACCTTGCTTTCCTCATCCTGAGGAACTTCTGGTGAATCAATAAGTTGAATGAGAAATTTTGCCACAATTTCTGGGACTTTAGAGGACACTTGGCAATTTCTCTGACAGTGGAAGTTGGACAGTGCCACCCAGAGTGAAAGGGCTTCCTCTTGCACACTTTGGACTGAGCCTTCCCCGCCTTCCTGGCTCATATCTACCGAGCGAGAAGATGTGATCCTGGAGGAGAGAAATAGTGGCAGATGAGATTACTGACTTGTTTCGAACAGGACTGCTGACTGCTGTGAGGGGCTCCTGGTTCAGATTTTGAAAGGCTAATTAGTCCATTGGGCAAGGAGAGAGGGGGACATGTGAGCATTCGGCTCTCACTTCTTCAACCATGCTGGTCGCAAGTATTTAATTGAATTCAGTTCCTGAAGAAGCAATGATTCCACAGTCCTGTTAATTACATATCTCCACATTCAGCCTTTAGATCTGGCACAGCATTAGTTAAGACGTACCTTCTCTTCTGAAACTCTGGAAATGAATCCTCAGGAACAGTTGTTTCCAGCTATGTCATTAACCCTTGACACCTCTGCTACGGCTCTTCTTTTTTTATTTTTTCTTCCTCTTCTGCTTGTTATGAATTGACAAGGTTGAGAAAAGAAGAAAGGAAATTTAGAGGAAAGCAGATACTCACTGAAGCCCCTTAAAATCGTTATTGAGGTTTTGGTTGAAAGTGTTGTTGGTAAAGATGTTAGTAAATGGCTAAAGATGATGTGAAACCCTTAAGGAAAGAGAAAATGAGAATGAAACCATCAACAGTGCAAGACTTTGACAGTGTTCTCAGGACACAGACTGGTTGATGGGTGGGAGAAGGAAGGGAATACTCAAAATGTTTGCAGAGAGGATGCAGAGCCTGCTCTTTCTGCACTGTGCCTGTGATGTCCTTAATGGGAGGATCCAGGAGCCATGAACAGCAAGATGAAAGTGTGAGTCAAAGGAGGTGTGTCTTAGTAGCTCCCCTAGAGGAGTGTGACACAGACAGTAAGTATTCTCAGGAGCATTCCCAGGGCGTGTGAAGAGCATGGCAGGAAGGCAGTAGGGTGGCATGACTGTGGTTAAGGGGGGGCTCCATTGGACCCTCAGGGCTCTGTGTTGCATAATCGTATTACTTTTTGCCATGAAAGACAAGATGGAGGCATCTTTGAACCCAGGTTTTACTTACTTTTGCCACAGTAACTATGGGTAGCTCTGCAGGACAGATTGTGTGTCTGAGCTGTTGGCCAGAGGCCCTGATTTTCTCTGCAAATGGATCTCAGGAAACTGGGACCATCACCAAGCCCCATACAGGATTAGATTCAGAATCTTTTGTAGGCAGTGACTGGACACTTCAAACCACCAGGGAGGAGCTGCAAGCCCTGCTCCCTGAGTACCCACTCTTCTCTTGATGGTGCTGCTTTCTACAGAACAGGAATTGCAGAAGTTCTTGATACTGTAAAGATATAGACAGACACACAAGGCAGTTACTGGATGTTCCCATGTGGAATTCCCAACCTGCTGTGGCTCATCCACTGCTCTCTCTTTAGAGTTTAATGAGACACACATGCATGTGTAGAAGATGGGGGAACTGAGTGGCCCAGAGGACAGGGAAACAAACATGGCCAAACCCACTTCTGTCCACCCTGCCTGGTCATCCAGTGAAGCATGCTTAGGAATGGGCCTGACAGATGCACAGAAGAATGGCCAGAGTGATGCCCTGACTCCCTCTGAAATAACCAAGCATGACAGGCACTCAAGGAAAACTTCACCAGGAAGCATGAAAAATGCAATAGAAAACAAACAAAAACAGAAACAAACAAAAGACAGAAAAAGAGAACCAGGGGTGGAAACAAGAAAAAATGTTTAAAATACATAATTAATAGCTATAGAAAAAGAGACAAATTACCCATAAAAAAGAACATTTTATAAACAAGGAAAAAGAAAAATAAGAGCTACAGAAAGTTAATTGATTTTATTTATTTAGCAATTAAAATTAATTACATGACCTTGAGGATGAATTTGAAGAACATTCTGGATTATATAACAAAGTGACAATGTGATATAGGAAAGCATAAGACCCATAAGAGATTTAACATCTCTATCAGAGACCGGCTAGAAGGAGAGACAAATGAAAAAAAGAGAAAGGAAATGTAAAAGAACCACTTTGAAAAACATCCAGTGTGAGTGGATACATTTCTGCCCAGGGAGGCACACAGTAACTGCAAGAAGAGGAACCTAGTAAAAATTTCTTTGTGGAATTTTGAGATAAAGAAAAGATTTTGAAGGTCTTTTTGGAGGTTGGAGGGAGTTGGTAGGAGTGAGGTCACATACAGAGAAGAGTTAGAAATGGCTTTTTATCCTCATAGCAACAATGAAATAAAAGCCATACCAACAAAATAAAAGCCAGTGGGACAGTGCTTTCCAGTTATGAAATTTTCACCTGGACATTCCACATTGAGACAAGGTACTGACCAAGCGTCAGGGTAAAATAAAGTCCTTTCAACCACATGCTGGGCCCAAACATTTGCCTCCAGTCTGTCTCAGGAAACTCCTGGGGGGTACACCAGAGGGAAGAAACAGTGCAAAGGAGAGAAACACAGCAAGGGGACAAGTTACCCTCAGGAAAGAAACTGAGAAATTCAGGGTCACTTCATGGCGACGGCTGCAGGATAGACTGATGGGAAGAGGAACCCATTCAGGTCTCAGGGGCCTAGGAGGACTCGGGAAATCAAGTGTTCAGGAAAAATTTGATATGTATTTCCTGCACTGTTTGACTGTTCCTTCTTTAAAGAAGTTTTATTTTTTATTTTAAAGAGATTAAGACAAAAGAGGACATAACAAAGCAGCTAGACCCATACTTATCACCATGTACTAAAAATCTCTAAAAAAAGATTTGTTCTTCCTTATGTGAAATATTTTCATGGAACAACTGGAAAGCATTAAGGATAGGCTTGGAAAACATTTTAGTAGCAAATAGAGGAGACAGTTACTAACATTGCAATGAAAAATGTTAGAGGAAGAAAATGAGATGCCGGTGTCTTTTGGCTTTGCTCGTGAATAACACTTCCAATTACCAATTGTAAACGGTAAGTGTTGGGTTAGATGGGAGAGGAGATAAATGGTGTGGCGATATAACTGAGTTACAAGCTCATCTGGCATAAACAAAAGTTCAATAAAATATCTGAAATTGGCAAGTTAAGAAAGAGTAATATAAGTGTGTCATGGAGGAATGCAGATTTTATAAATGCATGAAAAATGAGGGTACAGAAAATGCAAGTATGAAGCAACTTCAGGAGACCATGGAAGCGATAGAGCAGAGACTCTGATTTTTGTTATATAATTTTTTCACTGTTTGTCTTCTTCTGGTAAAAATGCAAGCAAAATCATGAACCAAAAAAAGATACTTATCATCCTCCCAGCAAAACAGCAATGTATTTGAAGATCAACGAGAAAGAAAAGACATTGTGCAAAATAATAAAGAAATATAAAATGCAAAGATGCGTATAACTGAGGTAATTTGAAATACAGACCTATTGGAACAAAAATCCTTTTAACAATGTTTGAAGTCAGTGCAGAGAACGTATGATGGTTTTAGTAGTGAATGAATTCATTCTAATAAGACAAATTGTTTTAATATATTTTATAAAACTAATTTTAGCAGTGTCTGGGCATTTAAGCCCTGTTCTCATTTTAAAGATATTTGTATTATGTGAATGAAAGACCAGTTTAATAAGAAATGATTTACAAGGCTGAAGTCCTGAACTGTGTGTTTCCTGGCTGTAAGCAGCTGCAGCTGTATAAGAAATTTCTCGGTAAGGCAGAAATTTTATGTAACTACTACTGTGAGAGTCATGTGATCCAAGGTTGGCTGCAACCTTTCTATCAGGTATTCTTTGAAATATATAAAAACCTGTCATGCAGAATTGTGTGTTCAATGGTAAATTCCATTTGAATGACCTAAGTGTGTTCTCTGCCTAGGGATTTACTGACGGCGACCTACTGAAAATTCAGTTTGGTGGTGCGAACGTGTCTGGATTCCAAATAGTGGACTATGACGATTCCTTGGTGTCTAAATTCATAGAAAGATGGTCAACACTAGAAGAAAAAGAGTATCCTGGAGCTCACACATCTACCATTAAGGTTGGCTTTTGTTTCTGTTTTCCTATTTTGAGGGGAGATGAAAGATGGAATAGAGAACACAGTTCAAATTTGACAAATATATAGACTGCTAACTCTGGTTTCCAACTTTTGTTTATGACACAAACCAGCACAGCTGTACCGTATTACTCTTCAGTGACATTTTTTATGTGCTTTCATTTATCTATTGAGGATTGTTTTATGTTGGGTGGATTCTGATCCAGGTATCTTGGCAGTAAACAAACAGAAAGTTTCCTGTCTGCTCACAAGGTAGTGGATGAAAGACCATAAGCTTTGAGAGAATTCCATACAGGAAGGGAACAGAGAATATGGGAAGACACAGGGTGAGACCACCTTAACATACATGTGCCAGAAACACCCCTTTGAGGAGGAAATTCTCAATATAAAACTTGAAGAACACAAGGCAGCCTGGATGCTGCTGAGAAAAAAACCCATTTACAAATAAAGAACAATAGAGAGCATTGTACCCTAATCTTCAAAATAATTAACTGTAGACAGTTCAGTCAGTAGACCTATGATCATATCCACAAAATGTGTGCCTTTGTGTGTGATGTGCAAAGTAACTTCTAATAAATATCCTGGCCTCTGAGATACTGTAGAATTGGGATAATAACCTCGGTTTACTTTAATAATTCAAAAATGAGTATCATGCTTACATAGTCAAAGGATATTTGAATGCTAATTATGTACCCTGTTGGGATGTACAAGCTACATGGATTCCCTGTTTTCCATGGATTCAAACACACTGAGATGCTCATTTGTTTATGCAGCACATTTCTGTCTTCTTTCAAGTGTTGCATATTTCCACTGTTAGCAGGAAACAGACAGTGTAGAACTAGAACATGGCCAGACGTCCGATGGCTCTGTTTGCTTGTGCATGAGAAAGCAGACTGCATGTGTGCAAATGAGAGAAGTGAAGTACAGTGTCACAGTGGAGCGGATCACACCTCAGAGATTGGGCATTCGGCTACCAGTGAATGCCCTGCTGTGGGACTGGCTTGAGTTGCAAGGAGATACTCTGAGGTTCTCTGCCTATGGGACAGACGTATAATAGGTCCTCATGATTTTCAGTCAGTTTCAGCGGAGCATCCCACAGCAGACTCAAAATGTTGCCATGAACTAATATCCATCTGCAAAGTCCGTGACTTTCCTCTTTGATGACTGTGACCCAGGATGGTACTGATGCTACTCTCATGCAGATGTGGGCTCAGTGTTGGCGAGTCTGCAGCATTGCTTGCTGGAAGGCCACCTGCTGGTCCTCCTTGGGGAGACTCAGGCTTCCCTCTGCAGGGAGGTGGTTGGTTTAGTCCAAGCTCTCTGCTAAGGTGTGCCTGTGTCACCTATGCTGCTAGGGAGCCTTGCACTCCGTGGAATGTTCTCAGTCATTACCTGCCCCCACTGCTGCCTGCTATGGGAGTATGAAAGGGAAATGAGATTCCTTTTTTTTATCCTGGAGACCTTATCATTATTCAGGTTCCTGTGTTTTGCATCAGAATGCATGGAGGGGGTGTGAGAGATCTCTTGGCAATGCCTTCTGTTAGCATTTTCCCCAAGCTTCTGCCAGATTTCACTCTGCTGAGAGACAACAGGGTGACATTTATTTGCTGCCTCCCACAGTGGCATTTCTGTCCCATGTTCCATGGTGCTTGCCTGTTGGTGGCCATTGCTAATTTTCAGGGAGCTCCCTGTGGCCTGTCATTGTAAGATGTTGTATACCTTGGTGTCTGGGGTTCAATTCTGCCCCGTGAGTCATGGCTGCTGCTTCCCAAGTTGCTGTGAAGGTTAAGTAACATTTAAAAATGTTTTCGCAGTATTCAAAGCCTTTGTGCCAATGAAGGTTGATTCCTTTCCCTACTCCCATCTGAGATGAGCCAGTTGTAAGGTCTCTTCAGCTTTAACATTTTGTGACCCTTTTACTTTCATCCCAGAGGCATCCATTATAAAGCCATCCAAGCCTAATAAAAACTACTGAAAACCCCTGGGAAGGGTACAATCTCTGGAGGTGGGGACCTCATCCTAAAACAGACACGTATCGCTCATAGACCCGAGGGCCAGGAATTGAGTTTAAACAAGAAAAGAAATGAAAATGTACAAAGCCTGCCCTTGAGAATCCACAGCCTGAAACAGGGAGACAGACACATCACAAACTCTAAACATATCAGTAGTAGAGGATGGTGGGGGCTGGGGGTCCAGCTCAGTGGCACAGCACCTGCCCAGCCTGTGAATGGTGCCCTGGGTTTGATTTACAGGCCCACGCATGATGAGTAGATGTTTGCCAGTTCCCTGTAGACAGTTAGGACAACTGAGTATGGAAGGGAGGTTGGGGAATGCTGTTTGCAAGTGAGTCACCTGAGTCACTGTGTTTTGCATGCCACTACAAGGGGGAGTGGGAGCGTCCATGGTAAAGAACTACAAGGGCAGAGTCAGTGTGACACAGTAGTAAAGAAGATGCAAGGAATATATGTTTATGGTGCTTCAGTATTTGAAACAGGGCAGATGGAGTGTGTTGTAAGAGGTAAGTGTACTGCATTGTCAGCAGATGTAACAGACAGTGCCTGTAACATGCAGGGGTCCCCTGTCCCTTAGCCACAAGGAACACATGCTAAGAAACTAAGTGGATGCTTGAAACTGTGAACACTATCCATCTCATTGCTTTTTTTCTGTAATATATATTTAGGGGAAGGTTTAATTTGTAAACTAAGCACAGTAAGATTAATCATACTAACTAATAACACAATAGGACAATTATTACCCTGTGCTGTGATAAATGTTACACCATTGTGGTTTTGAGAATATCTTATTACACTGAAATCACTACTTTTCTGCCCCTTACAATTGGAGAGGATACAATGCCAAGGTGGTAAGCTGTAGGAAGCTGAAGACACAGTTACCGTGACCTCAGCATACAGTGGTTTCTCTCCTAATTTGCTGCAAACCTTTGAAGTTTCTCTTGAAGAATGTACATGATGGCTTCTCTTGGAGAGAACCAGTGGCCAGCAGTGCTAGACTTGCATTTGGGGGGATTATGAAGTGAGCTAAAGATCACTGGCACACAGATGCTGCCCACACACAGTGGCCCATCTCACTAAGCTACCCAGCAGCAGCGAGGGGGGTGGTATGCCTGGCACAGAGGTCGTGAGAAGAGGAAGAAGGTGCCGCCTTGGGTGTGGTGGAGTGGGCTGGCGTGAGATCTCCTGGTGCTCCTCACCACACAATGTGGCTTAACACTGCTCAATTATGTATTTCCAGAATTTTTCATTTCCTAGTTTCAAACCATGAAAATAAAAGTGCAGATGTGGGGAAAATTCTGAAATGCCTTCACATAGTTTTCTGCTTCCATAGGCAGAAGAAAGGAGGAAGAGCTGTACAGGGCACTCTGTAGCATTCTCTGAATACATTAATGTGTTCTCAGTGTGTGATTTACTTAGAGAAAGCGAACAAAAATAGGTCTAATGAGATTATTTCTAATGAGGTTACTTCCTTTGAAACATTTTTTTTTCAGCCATTAACTATATCAGGTACATTGTTGGTATTTAAATCACATTTTACTACTTTACAATAAAAACCAGGCTATAGCATGAAAAGCTATAAAAGTACATTTTATTACATCAAATTCCTTCATAACTAGGCTTTTAAAATTACACTAGGATGTAGGAATAATAAATAGATGATTATTTTAAAGTATTTTTAGTCTATCCCAAAAGTTCATTCAGCTTCCCATAGCTTCCTAATTAAAATAAATTTTATTCAATAAATATAAAGTAAATATTCAGTTTTAATACTTAGCATGATTTAATAAGCAGCAAATACAATTACAGTATTTAAAGTTTTTCATCCTTCTATAAATACAAAAAAGGTTACCCTAGCATCATAGTAATTGAGATTTTAAATCTGACTCTCCCTAGTATACTAACAATTATATTAGAATATTCTGTTATCCATTCAACACATATTTATTGAATTTGTAGCCCTTGACTGACTTAATTATAGGTGTTTTATTCTTGAGGAATTAACCTCCAGGGCAGAAGCCAGGAGTCACTCAGGAGCAATGACAGAAATTCTCTGGCAGATCTCTTCCACTTACACGATCAACACTGAACTTAGGTTTTCCACTGTGCATGGCCTGTTCTTCCCAGTCTTTCCTTTCTCATTGAAGTCAACTCTCCACTTTCATGCTACTTGGATCAGAAACCCGAAGGTGTCCGTGCCTCCTCTTCTTCCTGGTAGCCATGTCTCATTGGTCAGGAAATCGCGCCATCAGCTCTGTCACTTTCGCCTGCCTCCTCTGTCCCTGCCTGCATCCCGCCACCATGCCTGCATCTGCCAGGACCCTGCCAGGGTTTCCTGAACCGGGTTCCTTCTCCCATGCTTGTCCTCCTTGCCTTCCATGTCTGGTCCTCTGGAAACCTAAAGGAGAGTGTGTCCCAGGGCTGCTCCACATGTGCGCGTACCTTTCCATCTCTCTTGGCGTGAAAGCCAGAGTCATTGTGCTGGCTCCAGAGTCCCTGAATGCTCTACCACCAGGCTCCTGACCTAATATCTTAGCTCTGACCCCTCCCTTCCTCTCTGCTGCTTCTACCTTGGGCTTCTTGATCTTCTTCCTGCACCTTGGAGACCTTATGCCTTGGGGCCGCTGTGCAGCTTCCTGAATGGACCCAGCTCTGCTCGCATCTCTGCATGGCTAAATCCATCATCCCTTTTCGTCTTTGCTTCAGGGCCCGCGAAGCCAGTGGTGGGCTCTGTATTGAAAACGGTGTCCTTGGATCAGCTGGAGGCAGACCCTTGCTCTTTCTCTGCTCCGGCTTCTCTTTCATTTCTGCAGCCCAGTGTGCTCTAATAACTTGTTCACTTAGATCTTAATTGCCTGTCTACTGCTTGAACGTCAGAGCCCCTTTCTGTCTCTGTGCTTAATCATATCCTCTCGGCCTTTTAGCCCAGTGCTTCCCATGCAGTACCTATGTAACCATATGAGCAAGTGGAGG